AAGGAGTGTTATTTTAAGACTCTGGATACCAATTCCTTGATACTTTCCTTTCCTAGGAAGTCTGTCAATTAGATTTAGAAATCCAGAGTGTATTGTTTATCACTGTATTGAAGTGTCTGACATCAGCTGAGCTCCGTCTGTCTCCTGGCTCTCTTCATTATAATTCATTTTTTCACCATATTTTGGACTGAAATACCTGATGGAGATTATTTCAGCTCCTCTGGAAACTCACTTATGGTCTCAGTAGAGTCTACAGCATCAAGATTGATCAGCTTATGATCTGCAGGGTCAGATGAAGTGGTGCATTCACTTGAACTGCAGTAGACATCTGAACAGGGGCCAGAGACACTGTGTGCTGCTCCTGCTTCCGTTGCTGCTGTGCTGCAGGATGTCAGACAAGGTTCTTGGGAACCTTCACATGTGTGGACATTTGCCTGTGTCTCTGGCTAATGCTTGTGAATTCATGCTTATGAAGAGAGTGCAAAAGGAAGCAGAGGGTTTGAAACCCTTAAATGTGGATCTCTGCAAGCAGGTAAGGATTGTGGTGGAAGGGCTGATAGAACTGAAGAGAGGCAGCTTGAAAACAGAGCTTGATAAAAATCATTATCTGCTGTATACAAGAAGTCTGCATTAACGGAAACTAATAATTTCCTGTCCTCAACAGGACTGTACATAGCTGGAATTTCAGTTTGTGTGTTAACAGGGATGGCTGTGCCTCAGGACACAGAGATTTTGAGACTGGTAAAGCCTGTACACAGAGTTCACATCATGAACACTTTGGGATGGCAAATTTCTTGGCTTGCCTGAGGGCAGCTGGGGCCACTGTAGGCAGAACTATTTGGGCCCACCACGAAGAGGTGTTCAGGGAGCTGCCAGAACGGGGATCCTGTCACTGGAGTCTTTTTCCTCTTGGTTATAGGATTGACTGGAAAAGTGGTCATCAGAAAGACGCTACCTGTGCTGGCTGCCTGCCTGCATGCAGGTTTTCTGAGCTTTCTTTAAGGTTTTCTTTTAATGTGGAAGGCATCACAATGCCTTGTGCCATCACTGCAATGTCCCCTGCATGATTTGTGGAGGAAGAATTAAGTGATCTTACTTCTGGGAATAAACCCTGAATTTAGCTGTGGGTTCTTATAGGATAGAAGAAAAGGAGTTGGGAAGAACTGGCAAGGAAGCCACTGACAGGAAAGGCCATCAACAAAGGATTTTGTAAGAGAAATGCAAGGCATACAAGGCTAAATATTTGTTCTCAGTGTACTCTGTGCCCTGAAGAGCATGTGTTTTTCTAACTCTTTTTTTCTAGAGCACTAATAACCAGACCATCTGTTTGCCTCTCTAAATCAGAGCAAAGCTCATGAAAAACCAACTTGAAAAACAGTAAGAAATTATCAGCTGTTTGTTTTAGCATTTAATAACTGTAATTAGCAAACCTAATGACATGTTTGATTATTTCATCACAGTTTTTCGAGTCCAGGGGGAGGCAGGAGATGGGACTTATTGATTAGAGCAATTGAGACTCCTGGCTTCCTTCTAGTTTTTATTGTCTTTTAAAACAATGTGCCGAGTAGCTCTCTGAAGACTGTGCATGTACAATTGGTGTGGAGATCATGGCTGACTTGGGGCAGGATTTGTCTCCTTGAGTGGATTGGTAACAAGCATAGTCTCAAGCACTGTGAAGCTCCAACACAGTGGATCAAGTCAGAAAACCTCATTTCTTTTCCTGGTTCTTCAAGTGACTCACTGTGGCATCTGGGCTGAACTTCTTCCCCTCTTAGTACTTTAATGTTCCCTTGAGTAAAAAGGTAATAATAAAGAAAAGGAATGGTATAGACAGACTCCCTGCACAGCCAATGCCAGAAGGTTTTCTTCTCTTTTATTGCGTGTTGCTACTTCTCAGCAAGCTCCATTATGGGAGATGAACATCTTTATATAAGCAATATCCCTTTCAGTCTTCCTAGAAAAGCAGAGATTTTGAGTTACAAAATGTAACAAAAACTCTGCATATTATCAGTATTTAGGAGAGTAAACCAGTTACTGAACTCTGCAAGCCTGACAGTGAATTAAACATACAGTGTTTAATTAGTGTTTAATAGTTTGTTCTAGAATAAATCTGATGTTTCTTTGTACGGTCTCTTGGTAAAATGGTAAACTATGTAGGCATTCCTAAAAATTAGTGATTTCTTAGTAACTAGGATTGCATGGACTTGAAGTAAGCAATTGAAGGATTCTAATATGTATGATGTATTTGTAATAACTTCACTCTCTTGCTCAAAGCCTAGAGCTGCACTTTTATCACAAATGAGAAACATTTGTTTCTAAACTTAGCATGTCTTGATATTTTACCCAAGTCTCCTTGTTTCTGTGTGCTGTAGGACTAGAAGGAATCAGTCTGGGTGCTTATTTATCCTTCCATCACCCAGAAATATCCAACTGGGTCATCATGTAACCTTCCTCCTCCAATGAGAATTAACCCATTTTCTCTGGTCTGTCCTGGTAACTTCTGACCCTGTGCCTGAGCCTTATTTATCCTGATTCCCTGAGGACAGTTTAGATGAACTGTTGAGGGATAGGTTTTTATCCTGAAGCAAAGACAGGACAGGAATTTTCTGGATCCTATTTTCTTTTCTGTAGCTGAAATCTTTGGGTTGCTGTTACTGAAAGGATCAAGAATTTTCTGACTTAATGTTTTTAGCCTACCAGAATTCACACAGGTTTCTATTTATTTATTTTGTAGAGCTCACTTTGGTGGAATGGTAGGTGTTAAAGGAGTCCCTGACCAGAAGCACAATTTTTGGTTTATGAAGCCAAGGTGAATGGGCAGCATCAGAGTGATTAGTGCTGCTGGGCTGTGGGAAGCTCATGGCCCTTTCCAGGTGTTTCATATCCTCAGAGAGGATTATAAATGTGGGCTTGGATGTCTTCTGATCTCAAGTCTTAGTGCTTTTCCACCTTGTACAAATATTTAAGTTCTTGTGAATGAAGGAGAGGGAGCCTGAATGAGTAGCGGGTAGCGTGTTCTTCTGGGATGCAGTTCAAGTTGAGGTCTCTGCTTCAGCAAATATCTGGAAGCTTTTGAAAACCTTTGTTACATCTAGATATGATGGGAAATGTTTCAAAACCTTGAAAAGCCTCTTGTGTTGAAAAAATATTTCTCTCCAGCTTTAGTTATTTGCATTGGTTTGCCATTCTATAGGCTGGCTTGCTTTTCTGTTGGACATGTATCATGCATGATATAATGGTTTGGCATTGATGTGGTGCGTGAGATAATCTCAACAAAGGGAAATGTACTTAAAATGAGAAAGCTTTAGGAAATGTACTTAAACATTTAGATGAGTTTATTTCCTTGAAATGGAATCCTTTTTTACATTATGCCCCTATTTTCATCCTATGTGGCAGAGGCATTGATCTGCCAAGGTGACACAGATTTCCGCTGAAGGTGGACCTTCCTCCTCACCTTTATGGTATAAAGCCAAAGGCAAATAGATAGCACAGAGATTTGGGTGGAGATTAGGCAGGACAGTTTTTGTTCTCCATATGTACCCCTGTCTGCATGAGGGCTCAAAATAAAGATGACATCTGTTGTTTGCCTCTCCGTTTGTATCCCTGGACAAATCAGATGCAACCTGGCTCCAATGGAGACTTGCACAATGCAACCCTTCAGGTGCATTGCATCCCCTGAAAACCATGGGTACCAGTGGCATCTGTTTGTAGAGATGAAATTTGCGTAAGAGACTCTGTCTTGTACAGGCTGCAGTGCTGTAGAAGACCCTTTAGACAGATCTTAGCAATTAAAAATTATCTGTATTTTAAGAAAACTTATATATAGTAACAAGAATGTGCCAGTAGCACAGACTGCAGGTGTCCCAAGTCCTTAATGAGAGAGCACAGTGTGGATTAGTGCCAGAGATGTTCATGTCCTTGTGTAGCTTTTTCTTCTTGTTGGCCAAGTAAATTAGCTCAGAAAGCACATGGGTTTCCTTTCTTAGAATTGATATTTCTGTTAAAGGGATGATACTTTCCATTGAGAAGTGCAAACTCATGTGCATTTTTGCAGCTTGTTTGTGAGGTCCTTGCAGTTCTGTACTAGCTTTTTGAGCTGTAGTTTAGCTGTAGTTTTTCCCTAGATAACAGCGCAAACATGTATCTAACAACACAATTCCTGGAAGAAATCCTGAGATAATTTGTAAAGAAAGAACTAAACATTGAGTGAGGTACTAGATTTCAGTTTCACTCTTCTTAAACTTTATTTACATGAGAGAATAAAATAAGGTGCTGCAGAATAGATTATATTTGCCCCTGAATTTGTGGTTGTATAGTTCAAGGTAGAATTATTCCTTTGTGGCTAATCCTTTAGAAAAGTGTTATAAAATATAAAGGGCCAGACACTGACAGTTTAAAATAAATGATTTTTAAGACAGGAAAGCTACAGGAAACTCCCCCCTGCCCCAAACAAATATTGATTGCCAGCAACACTTTATAAGTGAAAAGCTTAGAAGACATGAACTTCTAATCAAAATTTTAAGTCAAATGAAGTACCTGATAGATTAGAACATTGGGCTGCATAAACATTACTGGGATACATCGCTTCAAACTGGCAGAACATAATAAACTATCTTGGAATGGACAGTGCAACACCCTCGGCAACAGTGAAAAATGCTTTCACTTTCTTGGTGTTGACCAGTTTAAAACCATCCCCACAGTAGGATTTCATTAGCATCTCCTGCTTGGAGTGGCAGATATATTAGATTTGATGGGATTAGGTGAAAGAAGAAGTGCTAGTAGCAATTTTCCTTGTGTGGGCTTTTTTTTTTTTTCTTATATCCCCCATTTGGAGCTCCAGCAAATGCAAGCTTGTCTTCCTCAATTAGGCAAGTCTAAAAGCTACAAAGGGTGTGCAGACTCTTAAATGTGCTGTAATTTATATTTATCAATTCAGTGCACGTAGTTTTTTTGATGTGTGCTTCCTGTCTGATTTTCTAACAATCCTTTATTTTCCACAGGTGGCCGTGATAAACGAGGTGGTCCGGTCTTGACCTTCCCAGCCCGCAGCAATCATGACAGAATAAGGCAGGAAGACCTTCGTAAACTTGTGACTTATTTGGCCAGCGTGCCAAGGTAAAGCTAGAAAGAAAACACTTCAAAGCTTAGGGTGGATGGGTGGGTGGGGAACTTGTTCTTGGCAATTGCTGATTTCCAAGTATTAACATTTAGTACCTTGAGTTCTTGGGGCGGAGGAACAAAAGTGTTCCCTTCCTCCTCCTGTGTGCGCTCCAGTGGTTTTTATGGCACACATGGCAATGCAGAAGCCCCAGAGTGGAGGCAGTGGGAGCAAACCTGGGCTTCAGGTTCCTCACAGCCTTGAGGAGCAGCTCTCATTCTCCATGTTTCTGTGCAGCTCTTTTAAAGGAGTGCAAAGGGAGGAATGCTTAGAGGTCTGCAGTTAAATATAGCAAGCTGGAGAGAGCTTGCTGTCTGTTGTTGCTTTTTAATGCCTTGTGGGAGGTTTGGGAGAGCTGGGGTAGGGGGCTGTAGTTGCTGGGGAGGAGAGAATGCCTGTACAAAAAGGCAGATCTTCCTGCTCCAATACTTTCCAGAGATTTCTCCAGGCTGGGGAAGGAACATGGGTGGACTTAGGAGTGAGCTTTCAAAGACAGGCATTTCAAATTGTTCTGAATGTAAACCACCACCTTTCCCTGCATTAGTCTCTGTGGCTCTCTTCCAACAAGCAAGTCCCCATGCTTTTTCCAGGGATGCTGGAGGAAAGGTGTGTTGCCACAGCATATTTATTTTTCAAGCCTTGGGAGATCATTTATAGAGCTCAATGCCCAGGGAGGTATTTCTGATCCAGCCTCAGAGAGTGAGACTACATATGCCCTCATCCAGCCTCCTTTTCCTATTTTTAAGCTTCTCAAATATCCTTGGCAAAACCCTCAGCTGTTGAAGTGAGTGTTACCCTAGGGCAGGTGGAGGTCTGAGGGGGGATGCTCAGGGTTGCAGGAACACATCCTGTGCCACCCAGGAGCTCCTTCTCTTTGAAACCCCTGGAACATGAGCTGCTAAACAATGTTCTTGTTTTGGCAAAGAGTGTGAAGACATGAAGGGCAGAGGGGTTGGCTGCATCTGGAGGTCAGTAGTAAGGGTCTTGGAAATGCACTCTGTTCCTTAAATGTACAGAGGATAAAGGTTGTGTTTGGTATGGAACAGGGCTAAGGGCTGTTTGGAGACCTAGTCACTTGGCGGTGCAGAGGATAAAGGTTGTGTTAACAGGAACAGGGTTAAGGGCTGTTTGGAGACCTAGTCACTTGGCTGCAGAGTGAGTAGCAAATGCAGCCATGTGTACCAGATCTGCCAGTGCTTGTATCCTGGACATCAGAAGTCCTCTGATGCACTTTTTGTTCTGTTGAACTTCTGGTCATCAAGGTTTTACTAATAAGTGAGTCTGTTTGCTTTCTCCCCATCTCCTCTCATTTCATCCAGGTCCATTTTCAACCATGTTTGTGAGAGAGATTGCAGACGTGCTGGGGGAGCAGTAGGCCACTCCCTGTGAGTGTGTGTCCCAGAGCTTGGCAACCCCCCCCAGCTGCTGCAGTAATGAAACTGGTCCCCTACATCTTATCATTTTTTACATGGTTGCAAATATGAAGATATGACATTGCCCTGGATCGCAAGCAATTGCAGAGCAAAAATGACCTTCTAACATGTCAACCTTTTCTATTAATTGTTCTTCCCTCATGGAGGTGGCAGTAATAAAAAGATACATCCTTTCTGTTCCCCACTGTCACACAACTGAATAAGTTAACTCAACCTTTGATGCTGCTTTTAGTTGCCTCACTCTGGATCAGTGCAGCAGTGATTTTTCTGTGATGATGCAGAACCTGGGGTCAGAGCTATGTGAAGGAGCCAATACAAGACCTGCCTGCCTGTCTCCCTAGGAGCACTAAAAACCATTCTGCTCCTGGTGGTAACTACAAAGCCTTGTTCTGTCCTGTTACATGATGCCTTTGGAGGGTGTTTCTCTAGTTATAGCAGAGAACATCCCTTCCTCTGTGGTGCAATCATGAAAATGTGTCCAGCAGTGAGGGACTGGCTATGCATGGAGCACATCCTCTGGCTTCCCAAGGGTCCTTGCAGATTGGACCTCTGGAGGAATTAAGTGGAGTACTGTCTCCTTCTTGGGATGTTTGCACATTGAGAGGTGTGCAACAGAAAGCAGTAAGAGTGATCAGAGGTCTTGAAAGCGTGTGGTCTGTCAAGGAAGGATTAAAAGGGTAGAGGTTGCTCAGTCCCTCTCAGTAGAGAGGGAACAGCACGTGCAAGCATGTTGTAATGCTGCGAAAGGAAAGGGTTTATAGGGCAAAGACAAATGTGTTACACCAAAGCAAGTAAAGATTAAGCTAGATATGAGGAAAAGACTTCTAATGGATTCCCATTAGCACTATAAGACATCCAATTTTTTCTTAAATCCTTCTGTTGCTGTATAGACAAGCCTCTGGCATTGATATAAATGTTATGGAGAGAGTATGGTAGATCAGGAGGTTATTTCTCTTAGTTCTTCCTAGTCCTGTTTTGTCTGGTGCAACAGCTGTGAACTTGCTGCTCTAGGAGGGAAATGTGACCACAAACTTCATGCGTTTGGCACGTGGGATTGTATAACCTGTGTGGTGTAAGGAAACACTGAAAACTCATTTTCTCTAAACATTTTGTTCACTTTAACAAGGGCAAGCAGCAGAGCTTTCAAACTTATTTATGTTTTGGAAACAAATATATGGAAGCAACAGTTGGAATTCTTATCACTGGCTCTCAGTTCATGTTTATTCCAAGATGAGTGCTGTAGCTACTAACATCAGCCATCCACCAAAATAAACAATTTCATTAGCAGAAACTCTGAACAGGATGTCAGAAGAAACTGCTTGAATGTTGAGTGTTAGAAGGAAAAGAGTTTTGTGTGCTAGCTGAAAAAGTAGAAATTCTTTAGGAAAAAGAGACTGTAATTTATCATATTGACACCAGGATAATAATTCTTTCTTTATTCTTGGTGCATTGGTTTCTGAGTGAGACAGATTGCTCTCCACATTGATACTATCTGTCACTTAACCCTTGTTTTGTATCTTAATGGAGGGGGCAGAGGTGGCGCAGTGCTGGGAGCTTGGAGCAGGTATGAGATTGGTGATGAAATGTGATGATAGATTAGGGTAAGTGAAACCAGGGTCTTGCTAGCAGTTTTCAAAATTTCTGATTCAGCTTTCTGCAGTTCCTTCTTCAAAACCAGAATAATAATGTGTGCTTTCTGAAAGCAGCTATGTGTGCTTGAGTTAGAGCAGAATAGTGAGGGCTTTCATGCAGCTGGGAGCCACAGTCAGGCAGGTGCCTGCAGGCAGTGGGGTTTCTTGTGTGGTTGAGAATTACTGCCTGGGGGTGAAGATCTAGGAACACAGCTTGTTCCTATCCCGAAATGGTAACCTTTCATTCCATAGTGCCTGGGGTAATTTAAGGCTCCTGGAAGGTTCAGAAGCCTGATCCTGCAGTTTTGGGTAGGAGGAGGAGGTTGCGAGTGGGTATCTGACACTGAACTAATGTGGCCCTGGTTCGGTGTCCTATGTTGGCTCTTTCAGGCACATCACAAGGTCCTTTTCTCTAAGCAGTTCCACTGTAATTAGTTACTAAGAAACGAAGACACTATTCATTAGATGTAAAGATAATTCCACGGATGCCAAGTTTCTACCACTCTGCCATTTTCTGCTTGGTTTACATTTGCACTAATGCTTTCTGGGTAGGCGAAGCTGTATTTCTTATGACTCAGGATAGCTTCTATTTACATGCAAATTTAAATGGATGCAATGTTTAGAAATTTGGAGGGCGTGACTGAATCTAGGATAACATGGTGTTTATGATCAGAGGAGCTGAGAGAGAACTTTCTGCCCTTGCTGAAGATTTTATATTTTAATACCAGTGCAGTGCCATCTATTCCAGTAAACTGAGCTTTGATTTATGTGTGTGTAAATGAAACTAGCACCAGGCCAATCTCCTCTGCTAGCCCTTTGGAATTACGAATTAAGTTATGCGTAGGCAATAGGAGGATAAAAAGGAGACAGAATATTATTAGCCTGAGTTATCTCCTCGCATGGTGAAGCAATACGATGAAGGAAATGTTCTCTGTCAGCTATAGTGAACCTTCCGGCTGAGCACATCAATCTGTTCTGGAGCCAAGATAAGCAATCTCCTGTGCTCTCTGCAGAGGGGAAACCCGAGATGCCTCAGGGGCCTGTGTTTTTAAAGACATCTACTTTTTATTTGTGCTCTGTTCAAATAGCTGCTCAAATGTTTCCCTGTTCTGGGGGACATCCAGGGCTCATAACAGCAGCAAAGTGTTTCCAAGGGGCAGCCCTGTGTGTTTGAACAGCTCCTCAGAGCTGCCCAAGCTGGATGAGAGGTGCTAGGAGCAGTAGAACAACTGAAGTGCCCCTAATAATTAGTTTAATGACTGGGGCTTTGTAAAATTAGAAGAATAATACAGGGGATGGCAAAATGTAGCAATACTCACCCACTCTTGTATTTATTTTAAGCTCTTCTCTGGTGACCTGTGGTACTGTGTATATTAGCTCCTCTGGCCGGGAGTAGTGTGAAACTCATTTTGTTGATTGATAGGAATTAAACCCTAGAGCTCTGCTTTCTGTTATGTGATCCTAGCACAGAAAGAGATTTTGAAGACTTTTTTTTTTTTCTGGAGGCTATTGTAGATCTATGAAAATAGCCATCTATTTAAAAAATAGCACCAGGGATGTCATACTAATTTTAGTAACTAAATATCTGGTGCCATTGATAAGATAATTATTCCACCGTACACTTGTTTCAAAATACAGCAGTAAAAAATGCAGTGAAGCTAATGAGCCTAATGGAGATGTAATATTTTCTTCAGATATCATTAACAAATAATGTAAGGTATTTTGGAGGAAGGGGTTCATTAGAAGTAAATAACTGACATGAGTGCTGGTGAATTTAAGAGTGTTTTGCCACTCTGTAGCCAGTTCAAATCCAGCCTCTCCCATATGTGGTATTTGTGTGTTATGTTTTTATCACTCTGTTAGGAATTGGGGGACTTCTGTTGAAATATTGGT